CAGAGATCCTCAGACAGAACCTTCCAACCACTTCCACTGAGAAGTACAAGGGCAGCAGCTATGTGGGAATACCACAATCTGCAAGTTCCCATCCAAATCACTCAACATCCTGACACCGGAAATGTATTGCCTTTCCTTCACTGCCAATGGGTCAAAATTCCGCAATTCCCTCCCTAGTAGCATTGTGGGTCAACCTACAGGATATGTACTGCAGCGATTCAAGGAGGCAATTCACCACCGCCTTCTCAAGAACTAGGGATGGGTAAACTGGCACCCAGCCAGTGATGCCTACGTCCCTAGAGTGAATGAAAAGAGTAATGGAAGCATCATCATCACCAAAGCTATCAAGCAGCAATAACCCACTCATTGTCACCCAGTTTGGGCTTTGCCAGCGCCACTCAGCTCCTGAACTCATTACAGCATTAGAGGAGAGGGGACGGGAGAGCAACTACCCTTGACATTAATGGTGTATTTGCCGGAGTATAACATCAAGGAGCCCTAGGAAAATTAGAGTCAGTGTGAATTTAGGGGAAAGCTCTCTGCTGGCTTGAATCAATCCTAGCACAACAGATTATTGTGGTCGCTGGACATCGCTGCAGGGGTTCCTCAGGATAGATTCCAAGGTCCAACTATCTTCAGTTGCTTCATCTGACACCTTTTCTCCACCATAAGGTTAGAAGTGGAAGCGTTCACTGATTATTGAACAACGTTCAGTGGCATTCATGGTTCATCATATACGAAAGCAATCCATGTCCAAATTCAGCAAGACGTGGATAATATCCAGGTTTGGGCTCAAAAATGGCACCTAATATTCAATCCAATAAGTGAAAGGCAATGAGCAATTCCAGTGAGGGTCAGTCTAACTATCACATGTCTACATTGAATGGCACAACCTTCACTGGATCCACCACTATTAACAACTTGGGGGTTACCAGTGACACAAAACCAAACTTGACCAGCTACAGAAATACTGTAGTTACAAGAGCAGATCATAGGCTAGGAATACTACAGTGAGCAACTCAGCTCAGATATCCACTATTTTCAAGGCCCAAGTCCAGACTGTGATGGAATACCTCCCACTTGCTTGGAATAATGCTGCTCGAAGAAAGCTTAACACTACCCAGGACAAATTGGCCCTCTTGATTAGTGGGACATCCACTCCCTCCAGCATTGACACTCAGTCCCAGCATTGGGTGTCATCTACAAGATGCACTGCAGAAATTTACCAAATCTTCATAGACAACACCACCATAACACACACCATATTAAGGAACAAGTGCAATAGATACATGGGAACACCACCAGCTACAAATTTCCCTCTAAGTCACTCACGATCCTGACTTGGAAATACCTCACGATTCCTTCAGTGTCACTGGGTCAAAATCCTGGAACTCCTCCCTAGCAACATTTTGGGTGTGCCTACACCAAACAGACTTGAGCAGTTCAGGAAGGCTGGTCACCACTAACTTTTCAAGGGCAACTAATATTGGGCAATAAATGCTAGTCCAGCCAGTGATGTCCACATTCCCTGAAAGAACTAAAACATTGTAATTTGGTTAATTAAATAAACTAACTGATTTACTGATCTGGAGCTGTTCTTCAGTGTAAATTGATAAGACAGATGGAACTACATAAATTGACCTTTGTAGCAGTAAAAATTCAGTACTTACTTGAATGCTAAGTATAATGAAACATTGGGAGTTTAGTAAGATGTGCAGAGAGTTTCAAGGTACTATAAAATTTGGTCAGAGTTTTACGTAATAAAAAACTATTTAGAAATTCTGACTTTCTAAATTTTTAAGAAGTATGTACACAAACTATTGTTTAGGATAACAGTTTTGTAAATGAGAAAAATAATCATTGTAAACTATTACAAACATAAAACTAATAGATCAGACATAAATTGCTAGTATTCACCTTTCACAGATCAAGATGTAGTGTTGACATACGGAAGAAATAGGATACTACAGTTCAGTTCTCTCTTGAATAAACCATTCCATAACCACTGAGTATTTTTACAAATAATGTTAAATATTTACCTGAAGCTTTATCCATACAGTTCACATTGCAACGTAACTGACAGGAACACCCTTGGGTCACTCTATTGTATTCATTATCCATTTTTCAGGATGCAAACAAAACTGTTGCCAACACATTAACTTCAAATGAGATTTTATTATACTTAAATATAATAAATTATGCAATCATTTCAAAATCTCAATAGCTTCTGAGCAAACTTGTAAAATGTATATATTTTTAAACAAAACATGCTGGCATTGCAATAGCAGAATTCCATTCCTCTTCAAAACATTTCTTCAAATTGGTACCTCCTGTCCTTTTTGAAGTGATTTTTAACAGCATGCAAGTGTCTGTCTGATATTTTTCAATAATTATGGAAACAGTGTCATGAATGGCAACTGAATATTTTTATTTAATTGTGCGAAACTTGGAAGTATAATCGGAGCTATATACACAGCAACATGCCAATCTTTGGAGAGAGAGGGGAATGCAGAGAGGAGTCTGAATGATTCGGCTTTGCTCACGAATCCACGTTACTTCATTCAAAAAATGCTATTGCATTGTGCTGGCTTGTCCTACCACTGGCATAAGAAAATGGCACACAAGAAGCTTTGAGGGATGGGTACGCAATTGAAACAAATTTGATAGCAAACATCGGCACCTGAAATATTCCTCAGTAACAACATGATTTATGATTCATAAAGAAAAGGGCAGAACTCTGAAAGCAGTAGCATGGAAAACGCATATTTATCAAACAGCTTATTATAATTTTTTCTTTTCTGTAAAAGGCAGCTTGGTCTTCACTTCTCAAATTTATTTCCTGTCTATATAGCAAATCTGCTGTAATTTAAAACTACAAAGCTTGAGATGATGAGACAAAACATTACACAGAAATTTTGGAAAGGCTTTTATTCAGATGTATCAATGAAAGTTGTTTGTTTCATTGGTGCATGAAGTGAAAAGTGAACATGAGACACTAATTAAAAATGCTCCAAGCATGAAACAAATTTGTTCGATACATAGCCATTAAGTTTCATCACTGTGCATGCATTGTGTGTACATTCATTGCCTCTTTCACATAAATAGCAGTCAAATAGCTACAAATGATAAAAAAAAGACACCCCACCTCCCCATCACTGACTCCATCTCTTTTCCATGGTTCAAATTTAAATGGAAGAGCTTGGGTGGGGAGGGTGTGCTGCGAATAGTCCCAGTAAGAACATTTCAACTTGTAGTTAGCCGCTTGAACATTTAATTCACAATAGCATATTTATCAAAGTCTTATACAGTCCTGCTCTTATGTCCTCTAATGTCATTCATCGAAATGTAAGTAAAGCCACATTCTGACCCACATGTAATATTCTTTCAGATGTACTTGAGTTTCAGACATTTCACTCATTGAAATTTAGGTCCAAACTGCAAAGGTACTCTAGGAATTCACTAAGCTATAATCAAGTTTTATAAACAATTGAATGTTCTGCTCAGCAGCATAAACAACAGATTCAATTGCATACAAGTGCATCTTTCAACGTTATCTATTTTTGGAACCACCATTTTGAACACAGCATCAGAAAATCATGAGACAGAACACCATCAGTTAATGGAAGGGTTTTTTCCCCTAGTTTATAAATAAGAGGAATGGGGCACTTGCAAATATTATTGCTCATGAAAGAGGAGAATGTAACTATGTTGATAGGTTGTAATGCTCTTGTCCATATAGGATCCGTTTTTTTCTAAGATAAGCTTCGCTTACACAATTTGGTTACATACATATAGATCAGCTTCAGTAAAATTAATTTTCCCATCCATTAGTTCATATTTTTATTACGTATTTTTGAGGATCTGCAATGTAAATTTGTGTGGTCAGTTTTAAAACTGTGCACTTTTTAACTGTCAAAAACATTTTCTGAGCAAGGTGCAAAAAAATCTGCTTACTACTAGTACACATAATCCTTTTTAATTTGGTTTTGTTTTAGATCACTCTAATTGATGTTTGAAAGTCTTTTCTAGATACCAGTTTTCAAATTACTCAAAAGATGGTGCTGTACATGAAAATCTACCACCTTATATGAGAAGGTTCCAGCATGTTTCTAATATAAGCTCATTTTACTTCATGTCCCAGTATATTTCTGACACAGAGCTAGTGATGGTATCGCATTTCTATTATCGCAAGTTGTGGTTATAAGCAATATTTTATTTGTTGCAACAATCGCATATTACAGAATTCTACTGCACAAAAACACTTTGCATCTGCAATAATCCTTTATACAATCAATTACATTGGCATTAACCCATTTTCACCAGGTTAGGATATAACACTGGATTGGGTTTAGTTTGACCTATTTTAGATTATTATGTTGTTACTAGTTCATTTTCTTTTTAGTTGGTGGATCGTTAATTCATGTAATGATATGGTAAAGTTGTTCAATACATAGGCATAACATTAGTATAAACTTAATTAAATGCAGATTGCAGCATCTTGCTAGCTAGAAACAAAATGTGCTGAACTACGTACACAGGTCAGTAGTAACAAATAACTTTTAACATGTCTTTAAAAAACATAGATTAACTCTCAGAAATGAGAAAAATTAATTACTGCAACATTTTGTAAGAATTTTACAGGCATTTCAAACAGCACCGAAATATATTTTAGAACATTCACTCGGGCATTAGATTGAAAGAAAATTATATTGAATATTAAATATATACAAAAAAAACCATCCTTTTAAAATAGATTCATGCTGGTCATAATTAATTTATGTAATATATATGGCAAACTAGTAAGTGTATGATGGGATTTTTTAAACATAATAAGACAAGCATGTTTATTGAGGATGAATCAATAAATTACCACGTTGAATTTAATATATATATGGGAATAGCAGATTGGAGCAAAGGGTAAATTAACAGGCTGCATTGTAATATTTATGAATGATGTCTCAGTTTTTAGATAAGATTTTTTTGAGAAAAAAGCAACCAACCTTCACAACATACGTCACACCAGGTCCCAAGATCTTCTCGTTAGAGTGCAACCACCCTCGTGAGGATCTATTGACAAAACTGCCACTATGGTTCCAGTCGTCTCCACCCTGGTGAATGTCTTCTACCTTGGTCCTCTTGTCTGTGCTCATCTTGTTCACGTCCTGCTGGGAACACGGAGTGGTAGAGATAGGGTTACATATATCTACTGCTGCTGTAACTGAACTAGGAGTGCTTGAACTGCCTTGCAGTTTAGAAACTGCAAGGTCTTTTACTGCAGAGGATAAATTTTTGATGCCCAACAGGCTGCCTGTGTTAGCAAATTTCAAATGGGACATCTTTTGGATGAAGGTGCAGAGTGTGGTAGGCCCATCTTCCTGATTCTTGCGGAGCACCTCTGATGAGGTTGGGTACGAAGGCCCTTCGGATGTCGTTGTCGTCGTCGTAACAGTCGTGCCTTTGCCGCTCATTGATAAGTTGTGTATAAGCTCATCGAATGATGTCACTGAATCATTCCTAAAACGATTATACTTTGTACGGTGAAGCATGCCCTTCTATCTGCTTTTCTGCACATGTACATCCAGATCTGACGCAAACTTAGCAAGCGCTTGTTCTACCATAGCAGAACTCTCATAACACCAAAGGTAACCTGATAAATCCAGGCATATGAATACCACAGAAATAAATACGACCCGAAGTACAGAAGTAAGGGCCTGGTCTAGAAGTACTTTGCTAAGACAGAGATCACCGTCCTGCTTAGAGCTGCCAAGCTGCTCGCAGCAAAAGCATGACTCACACAAATGAGAAGACCCTTTTCAACAAAAGGCTCACTGAACACTGCAAATCACTTCCTGTTGCAAAACCATCCACCCACTTACAGCACACTAGAACCAATCAATTTTCAAATTTCCCCTTCCGATTTTGATAGAAGGGCACTTTCACTCAAAGCTGAGGATTTTTTTGCTTTTCTAGAAAGTAGACAGTTTAATCACTGGGAATTTCATCTCCAGTAAAATTATTTCTACTTATGTCTGTTTACTGTATTAGACGACTGTATCATTCAAACCCAGCAAGCTGTATAGTCATTTCAGCGCTACATAGTCATAATATAACATACCATTTTGAAAGCCCCTGCAAATGCTAACATGAATTGGACAATATATTAAATGTAAGAATAGCCTCTAAACGTAGCCACAATGCACAAAATCAAAGTGGATTTGAATAGTGTTATAACTGAGAAAAACAGCTTGACTTTGTGTGTTTAAAAAAACACCCTTTCAAATTAGAAAGATCCCATTTTATCTACTTCAAATTTGAAACTAAGAATAGGGAGATTAAATAAAATGCATCTACTGAATATTTTCATTCCTTATCCATCTAATGTTGCTTTCAGAAATTAGAATTCATGAAATACTGCATTACCTAAACACAGTGGCAACATCCTCAGTATTTTTCAGGTAAAATGGTTTACTCTATTAAAATGAAACTGAATACCTCTGGTGCCAGATCCATAAGATGCATTGTATAAAGCTTCTCTTTCCCCACCATTTTATGAACAAGTTCCTCCTCTCCTGCAGAGAACCACCATTAATAAAAGACAGTGTAAATCTCATTCATAATATGTACTGAATTAATTTTTCAGCATTTTAACTCAAATCTCAAGCATTCCACCCAGAAACGAATGAGGTTTTAATACATAAATTCATATCAGCACATAGAAAAAAGCATTTTCTATCCTATGAGAAAGTGATATTTCCAATCATGTATATTTATTTGAATGAAATGGTAAGGACGCATACCAATAATTCTGTGAATGAAATAGGGCCTTGCTGCATCTGCCAAACGATCCCTTGGGTGTTAATGGCTTTATCCAATAAGAAAGAACCTGGATGACTCATTCAGGATAGGATTTCTGAATAGTGGATTGTTCCATTTTCCTTACAGGTATGTTTCTTTCACATCTAGAAGCTAATCTAATTACTACAATTTGATAGCAATGGTTTGGATTTTTTTTAACAAAAACGTATTTATAATAAATTAATTACTGTAGTTGAGGTGAGGTGCTAATTCAATTGGAAGAGTTTCTTTCACTTACATATCTCTTTTGTCATTCCCCAGAAGATGCATCTAACTGGTCCATTCACATAGCAGAGTGGATGCTGTTCGATTTTTCTGTGACTTGAATGTTAATTACTTTGTTCAATATATCAGATTGTATTACAAATTATTATGGGAAAGAGGATAAGTTGTTTGTAATTTTCAGTATATGTGTGCGCGATGCAAAGTCAAAGCTCACAAAATGTTAATATCGTCATCATTTATAAACCGCTTCGTTAAGAAGGACGGTATATTGATTTACATAGTTATGCAAAGATGTCTAACTGGCACGATTTTGCAAATATTTTAGAAATGATAAATTAAATATTTTAATTTGTGTAAAAATTAGAAAAAAGCATAAAAATCCGGTGCATGAGGTGCATAAAATATAAAGTAACAAAAGATGCCACGAACAGAACTATTTAAATACTGTGTTTTACCATATAAAAGTGATTAAATAAATTGTTAGTAAAGGCAATTGCTAATAAAAACATTTTACGCAAGTGCAGAAATGGCTTATGTATGCCATTGTATCAATCAACCATATATCTGAAATCTGAGCGTGTGTCTCTGAATGCAACATTTGGCGCCTAATAAAGGTGTGATGTATTACCTTTGTTTCATTACCAAGTTAATCTTTTATTGTCTTTGGTAAAATTAATACCTTGCAGCCAATGTATTTCAAGAGTCTGAGTTCAATTTTTTCAGGTAGTAATTGTCATGGAAAAAAATATGGGCATGAGCTCCATTTTATTGTATTTTCGTCAATTATACCTGTGGAGATAGATGTCTGTACAGCCATTTATAGCGATTCATAAAAAAAGGTTGCCTGCCGCAAAAGGCAAAGACAAATGGTGCTCAAAGAGTTAATCATAACTATCACAAATTGCTGTTGCTGCATATGTTATCTCCAGAGATTATTAAGTAAAACTGAGAGACTAAGTGTACCGGAAGAAGCATAACTTGTTTGCATGTAGGTGTTAAGGGCATTTTCATCCAACCAGCGAACAAAGAGAATCCTGCAACTCATTCATTCACTACTGCGTGACTCGCACCACAATATGGACTGCAGCACACAGGTCTGAATGCAGCGGAGAAAATTGCCCTATCGCTATCAAAGCAATATTTTTCTAACAAAAATTCAGGAGTTAATTCATAAACCTTGACAGAAACCTTTTATGTAGTCAAGCCTTATCACGTTCATGCAAATTCTGTTGACTGTTGTAATAATTATATGGATTGAATGGCCTATTAGTTTACAGATTGATTTTTTTAATCTATGGCTAAAGCAGAATAATTTTATTTCTGCTCTAAGAAGTTCTTTGCCTACTTTAATAAAAATCTCGGTCAAAAAATCCATGTGAAACAACTTGTCCATGTTAAACCTCAATTAGTGTTATAATTTATCACAAAGCTACTGGAAATGTGTCTAGCTGGATAAACACAGCAGGCCAAGCAGCATCAGAGAAGCAGGAAGGCTGACGTTTCGGGCCTAGACCCTTCTTCAGAAACCGGCCCGAAACGTCAGCCTTCCTGCTCCTCTAATGCTGCTTGGCCTGCTGTGTTCATCCAGCTCTACACCTTGTTATCTCAGATTCTCCAGCGGTGTGCCACAAGGATCGGTGCTGGGTCCACTGCTTTTTGTCATTTATATAAATGATCTGGATGTGAACATAGAATGTATGATTAGTAAGTTTGCTGATGACATCAAAATTGGAGGTGTAGTGGACAGCGAAGAAGGTTACCTCAGTACAATGGGATCTTGATCAGATGGGGCAATGAGCAGAGGAGTGGCAGATGGAGCTTAATTTAGATAAATGTGAGGTGCTGCATTATGGAAAGGCAATTCAGGACAGGATTTATACACTTAATAGTAGAGTCCTGGGGAGTGTTGCTTGGAGTGCAAGTTTATAGTTCCTTTGGTGGATTTGCAGGTAGATATGATAGTGAAGGTGGGTGTTTAGTATGCTTGCTTTATTGGTCAGTGCATTAGTATAGGAGTTGGGAAGTCATGTTGCAGCTGTACAGGACAGGCCAGGCCTGCTGTGTTTCATTACTGTTTAATGAGTTGTGGGCATCACTGGCAACACCAGCCTTTGTTGTCCAGTTCTAACTGCTCTCGAACAAAGTGGCTTGCTAGTAGGGCAGATAAGTTAACTAAATGTTAACTCAGTTTTCAATCCACAAATGCTGCAAGATTTGCTGAGTTTCTCCAGCAATTTCTATCTATATTAAGGATGGCCAATTTTTTTTTCCCTAAAGGATATCTGTAAACCTGATGGGTTTAGTATAACAATTGATGATCGCTGTCAACATCACTATTACTAAGACTAGCATTATGTTTCCAGATTTATTATTTAAATTTAAAATCAACTAGCTTTTGCAGTAGGATTTGAACCCACATCTCCAGAGCATTAACCTGGGCCATCTGATCACTGATTCAGTGACATTACTAATTTGCCACTGTCTCCCTTGAAATTAAAGACAAAGAGACATCCCAACCTGGTCTGGCCTACATGTGACTCCAGACCCACAGCAATGTGGTTCATTCTTTAATGCCCTGTGGGCAATGAGGGATGGGCAATAAATATTGCCTAGCTATCCTGTGGATGAATTAAAAAAAACTCCACTTTGGAAACCAGCTTTTCAGCCAACTGAGCTACCGAACCCCGTACCTCTTCTAGGTGATGCACTCACAAAGTAACATTGCCTTCTGTATATGTTTTGACGAATGGAGTCGCACACAAGCAGAATTAAAAGAATCCATCAATGTCTTCAAGAATGATCCCTGTTCTGTTACACATAAAGCCAGAGTGCACACAGGAACTGATTAACTTCATGGACAACACAGTATTTAAATTGACACAAAACAACAGACGTAAGATAGCAACAAAAATTTTCTGTTTAAAAAGAAAACTGACACACATCCATACAAAGCCATCAACTTTATTGACCTTTTTGCAGACTAGTGAGGTCACATCAAAAGGGTTGCATGTTGCATCAAGTATTCCACAGTATGTGAAATGCTTTGGGGTGTGATAACATAAATTCTAATCTTGATGAAATAAAACTCTAAAGTATTAAATTGTCCGATTGACACATTGTACATACTGAAAATTCCAATAAATTTTCCCTCATATAGTGGCTCTTGAACTTCTGCAACCTTAAGCTGGAGACTACCCAGTCACTTGCAAGGAATTCGTCACCCCAGTGACTTCAAGTCTTCCTTGTTTTCAGTTATATGGGTATTCCTTTGTTGAAAAGTTTAAAAATGCTCCCTCCTGTTTTCAGCTCTTATCTCCCTTATGCAAGCTACCTCATACAGTCAGAAATCTACAGCACAGAGAAAGGCCCTTTGGCCCACTGCCTCCATGCTGGTCAAAAACAACCACCTCAAAAACAACCACCTTAACCATTCTAATCCCATTTTTTCAGCCCATAGCCTTTTATG